CCCTCTTGGAACAGAGATCACGATGACACGGCATCTACCCGTTCAGGAGGAACCCCAGGCCCCTCCAGTGGTGGCCACACATCACACAGTGGGGACAACAGCAGTGAGCAAGGTAGGAGAGGTGTTCTCATTCATTTTGCTACCTGTTTTATCTTTAGGGGTTGGAAAATCAGAACTGTCTGGTTAGTTACTATTTATCAGTTTTTCCTAGAACATCAACCCCATATAATTAGAGAATCAGTTCATTTTATTTTATTCCTTGACCCATTTCTTCTCCTATGCCATTCCTGCTGCCTAACAGCCCATCACCTGGCTACCTCTGTAAAACAGGGCCAGGGAGTTGAATGAGAGCAAGAGTAGAGAAGCAGATTGGAAGTTCAAATGTGCATAAATAGTATGCCACTAATACTTGTGGTGCAAATCAAAAGAATGATGGATTATAACTTGCCTTCAAATGCTTTTGAGGGGCTTATGAAGAAACACCCACTAGGATTTAAAGTTAAGGATGTCTTGAAGATACTTAGAAGGCAGTCAGCCTGTTGGGTTTCCCTCTCTACTGGGTTGAGCCATTTTTCTGTTTTTACTTATCTGAATCTCTTAAGTGCTTGACTTCATTGCACAGGCAGACTAAAGGGAGTTAGGAAGAAAAGGGAAGAAACGAGGCCAATTTAATTTGTTTCGCATTTGGTATGCACATACCTGTGTGTGTATGTAGGTGTCCATGAGTGTGCATTTCTGACGGTATCTAGTAGAAAACAAAGATTTCAAAGTAAAGGTAGTCTTCATCCAAAAGGTGAATGAGCATTTATTTGCCTTGTTCTGTGTTTGATAATGAGATCTGTAGCAATAGAGTTTGTGTTCAAGTAATGCCATGGAAACTTAAAGGAGGATTCTCAATCTGGGTATAAACTAATTACTTTGTGGAAGGTGACTCTGAACCCAGAATAGATACATACTCTATACTCTGGTTCTATGATTGTGTTTCATCGAAGTACTGTTAGAACACAAAGGAATTTTTTTTCTAACTTAGTTGGGCTACACCAATTAGAAATGCGAAGCCTAACAATGACTTTCACTTGAGTAATTTGAAAACAAAAAACAGGCAAGTTAAAATGTTTTTAGGCACATGTGTGCTATTTGCACTGGGAATAGCTTCTACAAATAGAATTTTAAGCATTTGAGACATTTTATTGTTCAAAGAAAAGTTGCTGACTTCGTCACAACTATAGTCTAGTAAAAATGCAGCCTGGAATAGTAAACTGGTTCAGAGCTGAGGCAGAAACAGGTAACCTCTGACCTCTGACTTTTACTGGAAAATGATATGCAACATAAATCCAAGGGGCCTTTTTTCTTTCAAGTGTGTGCATGTATATGTTCTGGTGTTGCAGTTCCCAGCGCTATAGTTAAGGTGGTGTCAGCACTTTCAATATAAAGCCCTACTTTCAGAATTCTACTTACACCACCCATTTTCAAAAAGGTGTAAATGGAATCTACTTTTTTTTTCCTGTAGTACAAAATTGCTGCAAGGGGTCACAGCCTAGTGTTTTGTTTGTTTGCTTCTTTTCCTTTTTTTATTTCTTGCTTTTAAAAGTATATATATCAACAGTGCACATTGAGGTAGTTTGCTGCTTGGAAGCTTTGCACACTGCTGAAATGTACTTGAAATCAAAATTGTAGCATGCCCATACCAGTTTCCTCAAAGGTAATCTGATAAAGAGATTTTCAGAGGGCCAATGCCCAGTACTAATTCTTTCCCTCTGAGACACCATAACAAGGAATTAGGACGTTTGCATGTTTTCTTTTTCTCTTGAAGCAAGTGTTCTTCTAAGGCCGGTTTAATAATGAATTTATTGTAATCAGGAGCCATATATTCTTCACATTACCAGGGTTTTCTACTTATATTGTTTCCTTTTACTTTTCTTCATATTAAGTCCACCATGTTTTATTATTATTATTATTATTTTTTAAAAACACTTTCACAAAAATTATCTCATTTGGATTCTCTCACTTGAACCTTAAAACAATACTGAGTGGAAGATAAAGCCAGTCTAGCCCCATTTGAGGAACTCTGGTAGCATAGTGCCTAAGGCACTTGACTACTAACCAGAAAGCTGGCAGTTCAAACCCACCAGCCACTCCTCAGAAGGAAGGTTGGGCAATCTACTCCCGTAGTGATACTGTTGGCAACCCAAGGAGGGGTCGCTACAAGTCAGGTCCGACTCAAAGGCACATAACAACAACAACAACAGCCCCATTTGAGTGATGAGAAAGGTGAGGCCTGAATAAGTTGACTTGTTGAGGTCCTAGCGCAGAGTTCGACCTCAAATGTCAGTTTCCTAATTATTTATATAAGATTCTTCTCATTATGCCCTCTTCCTCCATTCCCCCCTCTGAAGAGGTAAAGTACGTGACTTCTGTTATGATCCAACAGAAGTTTCCTGTGCTGATTTCTCCCTACCTCCTGTTTCCCCGCTAGCTGGATAACACAGGTGGACTGAGCTGTACCTTTCCTCTTACTTGGCCTTCCCTGTGGGTTTGCTTAGGCAGTGTGATTTATTCCTGTTAAATGCAAAATGATGCCTGGAAGTGTTGCTGCAACAACTTATGCACATTTCCATGCCAACCATGACCCTCCTAAACCTTTTTTTCATCCCTAAGACCTGTGGAGCTGGGTCTTTATGCAGCCTTCGGATTAACAGTGCACAGTGGCTTTTCCATGTTCTCCCTGTCTGCCTTTTCTGGCAGGCATGGATGTGTAAGCTGTGCCAGTATTTGGCCCGTAGTGCATGTCCTAAATAGTTATTTACACAGTTTGAGTCCATTTTAGTCAACTGGGTAAATAACAGCCCTCTTCAAAAGATTTATAAATCCATAAATATGTCTTTATACATACCCAATAGACAGAAATAACTCAATCTGTCAAGAACATATCCAAAGAGGTGTTTCCCCCATAGACAGGAGTAATACATATTTTAAAACTTTCTGTACTGTATTATCTACACTGTGTTTCTTTTCTCTCATTCCTTTTCAATTTTCACCACTTCATTATGCCACCTGTGATTAAAAAAAAAAAGAAAAGAAAGAAATCCCCTAGGCTTTGGTCCTGCCTTAAATAACCTTATCTGCTGCACAGTGGAGGCATGTAGCAGGCTATCACTCAACTGAGCCCTGTTCTTTTAGACTTTCAGAGTAAATAAAATCAAATAAATAATCCAGGAAAGTTTTAATTCTGACAGATTTCCAAATTCAGTAACAGTTCCTAGTTTGAGCTCCAGCAATTTAGAGGATTTTGAGTACTTGATAATTTGCCAAATTACTAGCTGTTGTGACTGGTGAGATAGTTTTGGAAAAAGTTTTTACCTACATATTTAAAAAAAAAAAGTAAGATCCAATCCTGGGTATTCTAAGGGGAATCTTTTTAAGGCAGACAATTAAGAAAGGACCCAAAGTTTTATTATTCAGAAATTCAATGCTTATTCTTGATTTACATATTATGTCTTTCCCCAAAACTCAAGTTATTTATCACGGCAACTCTTCCTGTGATGTCTACTTTCATTGAATATTAACACCTTGCAGGAACTTGATTCTTTCACAGTGAAACCCTTTTAAAAGGCATTTAAAAGGGAGACCTCACATCTGTGCCTTCCCTTCTAAGAATATTGTTTAGTTGGAGGATCTGCTGCTGTGGGTACAGTGGTGATTCTATCTACTCTTTAACTTCCCCAGAATACTTTCTAAGATATTACATTGAATCCTTATTTGTCTCTGTCAACTAGTTGCTGTATTCCCATTTTGCAGGAAAAGGAAAAGGAAAGCTCAGAAATATTTGAAGTATGAATAACTGTGAGAGTCGGTCCTAGGATCTTAGTCTTTAGGCTTTAGGACTCCCAGCTGTGTGTAATGATAGGAGCTACACGTTGGCAGGTGCTGCACTCTTCCACATTTCTTCTTTATCCTACTGTGTGCAGGGCTCCACAGACTACAGTCATGACCTACTCGAGGAGGTATGTGGTTTGCAGTGGGAGAACACCAAGTAAACCCATTGTCTGTCACTCCCCAGATGTGTCTTCCTTCCCAGGAGAGCTGTCACATCCTCTCTAGGACTCAAGCAGCTTCAGCTGCATTTGACCATGTTTGAGTTTGGGCATGTCCTTTTTTTGGTTCTAGAGAGTAAAATAAATGATCATAATAAAATAATATATCAAGGGCTGTCAGTTTGTGTGCAGTGAGTCAGTGAGTCTAACCCCTCATTTTGTAAACCAGCCTGTGGAAGTTCAGAGAGGCTGAACCAAGGTCACACAATGCTTGGTGGTCCAATTGGGAGTTGAACCCATATAGACTGACTCAAGAGCCCAAGCTCCTAAATACTGCATCCTATTTTAAATAGTACTTTAGTGGCGTAGGCATGGGAAGGAGTCTCTGGGTGACACAAATGGTTGAATGCTCAACTGCAAGTTGAAATGTTGACAATTTGAATCCAACCAGAGGTTCCTCAAGGAGCTCTGGTGGTGTAGTGCCTAAGGCACTTGACTGCTGACCAGAAGGATGGCGGTTCACACCCACCAACCACTCCTCGGAAGGAAGATGGGGCAATCTACTTCCGTAGTGATACTGCCTCGGAAACCCAAGGAAGGGTTGCTATGAGTCACGTCTGACTCTATGGCACATAACAACAATAACAACAATAACAGAGGTTCCTCAAATGACAGGCCTGGTGATCTGCTTCTGAAAGGTCATGGCCTTGAAAACCCTGTGGAGCAGATCTACTTTGTACATATGAGGTCTCCACGAGTCAGAGTCCACTCAGTGGCAACCAGCAATACCAAAGCATGGAAAAGCAGGTAATTTAGCAGACATTTTTCCTTTGATCAGTTCAACAACCCTTTATTGAGTGCCTGAGCTGTGCTCTGTACTGGTGACGTTGCCATCAACTAGACAGAATCGGCCTTAGCCACAAGGCGTTTATACTCTGCTGGGGAGTAAGAATCTAGTTTTGCTTGCTAAGTAGAGTGATGGTTGAGGTTATTTATAAAGGAGCATGTTGATTGATATGATTAATATTTGCATTATGTATTAAGTGCCAAAATATTTCACTCATTCAAAGATTTATTG